GACTTATAAACTGTATGTTTATTAGAGATGATATTGAGCATGATGAGTATCAGATGTGAGATATTCAAAAAAAGAAGTAATCTTACTCAAAGATGCTGAGACAATTTATTAACAACGATTCTTTGCCAAAAGAGTCCATACACTGCACAATTGACAAAAAAAAGGAAATGATAATTTTTGTTATCAATAGAGTAACATTGAATTACTTTCATTAAACACAAATGTTGAGAAAAGTACTTCTAGACTTAGTGATTAGAGTACTTAATAGACATTAACGATGTTGGATTTATTATAATTGTTATTTTTTTTGTATTCTATATAAAAACTTTCGAGATAATATTTTTGAAAAAGAAAGAGCAAATATGAAGTTTATTTTTTAAAGTGTTAAAATTATAACAATTAATGATTGTATAACTATATGTCCACTTGAAACAAATATAAACCATGCTGGTGGATGAAAATCATGTTGTTGTCGTTGTGCAAAAAATAAGAGAAGAAAATGAATAAAAAGCCAAATTATAACTACAAGAAATGGTAAGATAATCAATGGTGATTTAGCTTGAACTGATCCATATATTGAACAACCACATGCAACTAAAACAGAGATTATTGTTAAACCATGCAAAATTCGTCGTGATATGCCACTTGTACCAATTTCACCAGTTGATATTTCTTGACCAGTATAAAAACCGTCATCTGTACGAGATCCAACAAGTGGTATCTTTTCACCATTCATTACTTGTTTTTTTTTGTGTTATATGATAAAGATATGACTGAATCATTACATACTGTTAATGATAAACGAACAAACATTCTCTTGCTTTCTATAACAAATATTTTGATATAGTTAAAAGAAAACATACAATAAGTACTAATGAAGTGTCTTTAGTATTTTTTTTTGTCTAGAGTGGAGGTCGAAGAGGATGATACACCTTCGAAGATTGAATTGATTCTTCCGGAATTTTAAATCAACCATCTAGAAGACAAAATCTAGATAAAATACTCTGTGTGTGTGTTAAATTTCAAAATAATTCATGTTGTTGGATAGAATTGTTTAATTCTTTTTGATAACTATACTATTTTGTCGTATATAATTATTGAATAGTCTGGTTATATAATAGAGATTATATCATTGTAAGTCGAAAAATTGCAAGATAGATGAAAAAAAAATGTGTTAGAAATTGAGTTTCTTCATTATTCAAGCGATATAAGTGTCTTGTCTTATCTTTTGTCGATAAATGAAAAACTTGTATATCAACAATATTTAGAAAAATCTTCTAAGATTTTTTTTTTCTTGCACAAAAATATATATGGAAATATGTTCCATTGCATTCATCGATTGAATATGTGCGACATCTTAATGCAGAAATATATCCCAGTATCTTGATTAGTAAATTTAATGTATGCAATCAACAATAAGTTACTGCTACTATTGACAGTTAAATGCTAGTTTATATATTGTAATGATGACTAGTGCAAAAAATTTTTTTATGTTCTTCTATATTTTTATTAAAGAGAAAATAAAAGACCATATGTCATGTTAAATGAGCATTCTCAACAAGATAATAATCAATTCAATGGATTACTTTCAATGAATAATTTAGGTGAATTTGATATGGGCAAGTATACAATGAAAGTTTTGACAGGTTCAGATTGTCTTTATAAATTAAAAACTGATCGACAAGCTCGTTTAATGGATGCAATGGCAATGTATCGAAAAGAAGAACGTTTTTGTGATGTTGTTTTATGTATTCAAGGTATACGATATCCAGCACATAAAATTGTTTTAGCATCAGTATCATCTTATTTTGCTTCTATGTTTGGTCAACCTGGTCATATTGAAGCATTTACAACAGAAGATATTGATTTAACAAAATTAGTACCTTGTCCTTTTACAATGAATATTATATTAGATTTTCTATATACATCACAAGTACAACTCAACGATAGCTGCGTATGTAAAGAAAACAAAGAAAAGACAAGAAAGATTTGATTTAAAATTTTAATATTTCTTTGTTCAATAATGATAGTTTATTATCATTAGAAAGATTTACATAGTTCATTACATTCATCCAGAGTTAACGGGAGAGAAAATCAATACAACAAAGAGATGACAATATGATCGAAAGAGTAAACAGATGCAAAAAGGAGAAAACCGAAGACATGCTATGAAGATGAAACCTCTAACACATAGGAAAAAACAACGATTCACTTAAAGTAAATGAGAATCTCAGCTCAAACAAATGAGTATTGATTTATCAGTGACAATTCACTAAGGAGTGTCTCATAAACTCTAGAACAAAGTTCATAATGAACCGGCAAGACTGACATAATTCCATTGAACTACATTAAGTAATAACATGTTTAAGTCAATCAAATTTGTCGGTCTTATATCAATAGTTCCTCGGTAAACTATTATGAATCCAATTTAATACCCATAGACTTTGTATACTTACTTGTATTTCATTGGAGAAAGAACTCAAAAAGATTTTTTGGAAAAATGAATATCTAATAATGATGAGTGTCTTATTCAAGTTTTGATCTATAGCTTTTATTTTAAAAAAATTTTAGCCGATGAACTCTGCTGAACTAAGTTCAACCTATTGAGAGTTCTGCTCTAGAATATCATACAAAATTTTAATTTGATCGTTTTTTAAACATTCAATAACTCGAATTCTATAATTTATCTATAGACGAAATCTCAATGTAAGATTTTCTTGAGCTGATCATAACTACGGAAGGAAAGTTCATGGTGATTACAAACCTCTTTTGTTTGTTTTTCTACTCTTATTAGGATTTTTTGTCGTACCCCACAAATCAATTAAGACGATTTCTGAATAGAAAAAATTGAATATCTTTATTCTATAAGTTATTATCTTTTATTCATAGCGACTTACAAATTTTTGCCATAGAATTGTTTTGATTGTATTTCATATTTTTTTTCCCTCTGTTAAAACATATTTTGTCACAACAAGCTTATTTACTAATAAATCTTTGAAATATTTCTCACATACGTAAATAGATATTTTTTCTGTTCTCTATTTTTTCGATAACACTGACTACCAACGAAAATTAATTCATATTCCTCCTCCTGGTGTCATAAATATTCGATACATCAGATGTCTCTCATTGTAGAAATATGCTGAATTAAATTTGAAAGAAAAAAAAACTTTTTTGTTTTCTTTTGATTAGGTTATGCCTATTTTAACTTGTTCAATACCATTATTACTTGATGATTTAATTGAATTATGTATTGCTTATCTTCGTGATCATTTACATGCATCAAATTGTGTTGGATTATTATTATATGGTAAACAATATTTATGTTATCCATTAATTGAAGCAGCTGAAAATTATATTCATAATCATTTTGAAGAAATTGTACGACATGAAGAATTTCTTTCATTAAGTTTTGCTGATTTATTTTCAGTAATTAAAAATGATGGAGTTAAAGTTGAATGTGAATCAAGTATATATAATGTAAAAAAAAAAGACAAATATAGAAATATGTTTTTTAAAATCTATATGTGTGTATTTTTATTTAGGCAATTATGCAATGGGTTCGACATGATTCATTAAATAGACGTGCTGAACTTGCAGAATTATTACCATGTGTTCGTTTTGAATTTCTTGAACCATCATTTCTTCGAAATATTATAAATTGTGATGATCTTGCACCAGCTGATATGAAACATTGTCGAGATTATTTATCAAATGTACATGAAAATCTTACATCACATCGATATTGTCATTTACCACCATGTCGTGCACCAATTAAACCACTTGTTATTTGTATATTTAGAAAAACAAAAAAGAATAATCTTTTATATTTGAAATTTTTCTTTTTTTTTGTAGATTGTGCTGGTGGTTATTATAATAAATCAATTAATACAATGGAATGTTACTTTTTAGAAACAAAAACATGGAAAAGATGTGCAGATTTACGAGTACCACGAAGTGGTGTTGGTGTTGTTTCACTTCAAATGAGAGTTTATGTTATCGGTGGACGACATAATACAAAGTAAGATGTTAGAAATAGAAAATCAAAGAAGAAATTTTTTTTTCTTCTTTTCTTTATATATGTCGTATCGAAGTTATTTCAGATCAACTAAACACTAAATAATTATTCAATAATTGATGACATCATAATAAAAAATGTATATAATTTTTTAAAAATAAGTAAATTATTGAAAGATTATTCAAGAATATTAAAAACTACATTTCGTTGATATTTTATATAATTATTATTCAACCCATACTATATTAAGTTCTATATTTAATGGAAAGTTTTAGGAATACTAAAGCACCTCTCAACAAAAAAAATGATATATATAACATTGACAGCTGCCAAAATTTATTTTTCGAAACATTACTGTAGATCTTGATGTTAGACTTAGTGGAGAATATTAAGACTAAGGGTGAGAATATGATGAGTACTTGTAAGAGATGAAAGTGAAGACAAAATCAAAGAAAAAGTGAAATGAGGATGTGAAATCGCTCTTTTTTCTGCTGTGGATTGTACTTGTACAATTAAAATATATTACAAATTACGAAAGATAAATTCAAAAATGTCTGTAAAAATAAATTCCGTTAACCCTTAAAGACTTCAGTATGTGAAATCTTTGTTCGACTTGATATTAGCTATCGTCTTTGAAACATACACTTTATTTCTTGATGAACCCTTTTTCTTTCTATTAAATTAAAGTTCAGTTATGATCTGAATCTGACCCATGGCACTCCGAAGTTTTTTCATCAAATATAGAACTTAATGTAGTATGGGTTGGACAATAATTATATAAAATATCAATGAAGTGTAGTTTTTAATGTTCTTGAATAATCTTTCAATAATTTACTTATTTTTAAAAAATTATATTTACCGCATATCGTAAATACCGGATAGTTTTTAACGGTAAACCGCGGTTAACCGCTGGTTTTCTTCCGGTTTTTATCGCATGGACGTTATTACAATGCAAAATTATCTATGAATATACATTTTTTATTATGATATCATCAATTATTGAATAATTATTTTGTGTTTAGTTGATCTGAAATAACTTCGGCACGACATATATATGATTAGATGGAGAGTGACAAGATATGTGTGCTTTCAATTGTACTGTCATTGCTTTTAAAGTTCAAAACTTGTTGTTTCAGATTTAGCGTGAAAAATCGAATCTAGGAAATTTATTTATAAATGAATTTCCTAGATTCGGCTTTTCGTATTAAATCTGAAACAAACAATTTTGAACTTTAAAGAAAATGATAGTAAACTTGAAAACAAAAGTAATCTTCATATTGTTACTTGTCAAGAAACTTTTATATTCTTCTTTTATTTCAATAAAATTTTTTTATGTTTTTCTATAGGAATGAAAATAAAGATTGTCGTGATGTTGAACGTTATGATCCATTTATGAACAAATGGACATCAATATCACCAATGCATTATGCTCGAAATCGTCTAGGTGTAGGTGTTATTGATAATAATATTTATGCTGTTGGTGGTTCATGTGGTCAACAAATATATTCATCTGTAGAATTACTTGCAGTCGGAGCATCTGCTCAATCATGGGTAGAAGTAGCTTCAATGCATATGCCACGTATTGGCCTTGCTGTTTGCACACATAGCCGATTGCTATATGCTATTGGTGGTTTTGATGGACGTCGACGATTAGGTGATGTTGAAACTTATAATCCAGATACGAATACATGGAAACGTCAACAATCACTTCGAGCTGGTCGATGCGGTGCAGCAGCAGCTTCACTTGATGAATATATATATGTTGTTGGCGGTTATGCATCTGATAATATTGAAGGAGCAATGCAACTTGATCTTGTTGAACGATATGATACAATTACTCAACAATGGTCATTTGTAAAATCAATGAATTGTCGTCGATCGGGACTTAGTTGTGTTACATTAGATAAACATCTTTTTACTATAGGTAAAATATATATATATTGTTTCTTGTTTTTTTTTTGAATAACTTTTTTTGATATTTAGGTGGTTATGATGGAAAAAATTTTTCATCTGTTGTTGAAATTTATGATCCAAAAAAAGATGAATGGAGTTATGGAACATCTTTAACACGAGGACGAAGTGGTCACGGTAGTGCACTTACTGTTGAACCAACATTAGACAATGATGAATAATATAAAAAGAAATTTAGTTTATATTTTTTTAGCTTACTCTGGAAGTAAATATGTCAGCAAAACGATAAAAAAAAATAGTGTTTCTCAAAAATTTGTATTTCTATATGAAAAAAACTTCCGTTTGTTGTATTTTTTTTTAAATTAAATTTCGACTATTTTCGTATAAATATAATTCTCATTATTTTAATTGTGATTTTTTTTTGTCTCAATATTCAGATGAACTTAGTTCAAGATTACATACCGATCACAAGTCATATTCATATAGTGAAGAAGTAATTAACCACTCTTTTCTCGTCTGCAGGTTAAAACAAGCCGATTGATGTTTCTAATCATTCTAGTTTCAGTTGTTCACTTTAGTTTTTTTGTTCATACAAAAAAAAAGGCTTGACTTAACGCAATGGTTTTTTGATCATATTAATTCTGTTTTGCATAATCGAAAAAAAAAAATGTAATCACAATAGCAAAAGCAACATATGATTAGGCACATAACGAAAATGTAGGGAAGGTGCTTGCCAGGTCGCAGCTTTGATTCCCAAAAAAAAAACTTTGTATTCATGTTGTAAACGCCTAATTGAGTTTTTGATTAAACTAGTTTCTGATACGTTAGATCAGTTACTTTAATATTCCACGAAAGTTGATAATGAAAAAAGGTCAAACAAATATATTTGAATACTAAAATTATGGCCGAAGTTGTGAAAGATTTTACCAATAACTTTTGTTCTAACAAAAAGAAGCTGTTAACGCAATCTTTGCTGGATTAAAATGTAAAATACGATATAGCTATTGTTACTCATCATAAGAATATTGTTTTATTCCGATCAATCTTGGGATCTATTTCTTCATCGTCTTCTACTTAACCCTCTAGAACTACAAGAAGAAAGCAGTTCATATATTTTCATGAATTGTTAACGATGTATAATCGCTAATCATGTATCAAAAACGTCTGTGTGTGTCCAAATTTCTATCTCTATACACTTCAACACTCCTGTTAGATCGTGTTTCACAAAAAGGTTCAAGCATCTACGATAATAAATTGTAACGCTATATGAAAATTAATGCAAGATTTTTGTCTCATACGTTAATAAGATATCGATGAATTGTTAATAGTAGAGATAATTAATAGATTTAAAATGAACTATTGTGATCGGTTTCATTACATGTAAGAATGACTCATCATTTTTTCTTATTTAATTCATTGATTACTATATAATCTAAATCAATTGATAGAATTATGCATTCGTGTAAATGTTTTCTATATTTAAAATTATATTTTTATATTAATTTTTGTATATCTATAGTATCGATTCGCCAGTCTCATTCGGGTTCTAATTCATTTTCTGCAAATTCAGATGATATTGCATCACATGAATTGAAATCAGATATTTTTTTACGTGTTGCAATGTCACTTTTACCAATAACTGCTGTACTTAGTTATCAAATTGATGCTATATGTCAATTACAATTTCGTAATATGTATGCTGGTTTAGCTAGTACAATTCTTCATATATTTTATTTTCTTCAATTCTATACAAATTTGAAATGTAATTCAAAAACAATTACCTATATTTATACATATCTCTATCATATTATTATTTGGATTTTTAAAGTAAGATTTTTTGTTTTTTGAATAATAAATAAATAAAATTCAATATTGTTTTTTTTTTAGATTGGTGGTAATATTGTTTATTTTTTATATCATCATCGTGAAAAAAATATATTTCATCAATGTATATTTGCATTAAGAATAATACAAGATACAATATTTATAAGTTTTGTATGTATATATAAAATTCGTTCATATGATCCACTTATTTGTGTTCAACATAAAGCTTTATTCAGTGTTATATCACGTCTTGAAATAATTTTAGCTATACTTGTACCTATATTTGCTCAAGAAAATCTTATTAAAAGAACTGTAGCTAATATAAGTTTATTTATTTTATATGATTTTTTTTCTGTTTATTATCATTTATTTACACTTCGTTTAAAATGGGCACTTTGGTTATTTGTTGTTTTTATAACAATAAGTGTTGTAAATGAATGGTTATATTTTGTTAATCATCAATGGCAATTATGTGATCAAATTAGTACTGGATTTGAATTTCTTGCTGAATGTTCTTGTTGTTTACTTATACTTTGGCAATTTAAATTACCAATAATAATATTATCATCTGATTAATTATTAACAATTTTATAATAGAGATTTAATAATATAGAAAAATTTCTTGTAAATATAATAAATGACTTACATTAAAATCTGTGATAAGTTTTCAATTAAAAAAACAAAAAAAGCCAGTAAGAGAAAGTTCATGTCATAAGAAAATAAAACCAATCTTCCGATTATTTTTTTAAAATTAGGCTAGTTAGCTTTATTATCTTTATATATATATAATGAGTACCAAAATTATTCAACAAGGTTTGTTTTCAATGTTTTTTCGCTGTCGTAACCACCAGAAAGAATCCAATTAGTGATTCGAATAGATAGACAAAGATTTTCAATATAAATATAAGAAAATAAAAATTATAATTACAGTGGGGGTCAGAAGTCTGGCCCCACTTTTTTGATTTGAGTAGTGTATTAAAACTACATAAGATTAATTTAATTCAATTATATATTTGGATAGCAGAGATCGAGTACTCTATATATACACCTGTTCAATTCGAAAACCTCTTGAATATGAAATATAATAAGAAAAACAAATTTCAGTACTAAGAAAAACCTGACATAAAAAACTACAAAATGATAATAAAAATGTTTCGAAGACCTTTTGTTGTGCAATAGGAATTTCTTCATACGGCTTTTATAGAGCTTTCGGCAGCGCATCTTTTGAAAACAAAATCACGATGTTATCGTTTTCTTAAGCCGAGACATATGCAAAATATAAATGTCTTCCAAACATTTTTATTATGTTAAATACGGTGGAAAGTAGTACTACCATGTGTTTTCTTTTCATTTTGAGTATGGAAGAAACCATCAAAAGGAGTCAATAGGGTCTTGTTCTTACAGTTTTTGTAGAGCTTTTCATGGCGCATCTTTTGAAAGAAAAACTAAGCTTTTATCATTTGTCTATGCAGGGATATTCGCAAAACAAGCTATGCTACAAACATTTTGGAACACTCGATATTTAATATTTTGACTAGAGTACCAACATTTCTTAATGAAATTCAAAATACTTTTATGCCAAAATGATCAGCGAAAAAAGCTCTACAAAGTCTGATAAAATAAAAAATTTTCTGAATACTTTGTGGTTGACTGTTCATGGAAGTATTCTATAACAATAACATCATTTTGCAGTTTTTTATGTCAGGTTTTTCTTAGTACTGAAGTTTGTTTTGCTTATTATATTTCATATTGAAGAGGTTTTCGAATTGAACAGGTTTATATATAGAGTACTCAATCTCTGCTATCCAAACATATAACTGAATTAAATTAATCTTATGTAGTTTTAATACACGACTCAAAACAAAAAAGTGGGGCCAGACTTTTGACCCCCACTGTGGGTTCCAAAAAATAGGAATTTCAGAAAATCAAAAAGACTAGCTGTTCAGCATCTAGAGCGGGTGAATATAAAATTGTTTAGACTATATAGAACGACTGAGCAAACAATTCAGAGACATCTTCGAGTTCTTTACGAATCTTTTTTTAGTCGAGAAAACCATTTTTTGATCTTCAATTCAATTACTGTATCTTAACTAAAAAACGTCGCAAAGAATTCGGAGACTTCTCTGAATTGTTTACTTTATCGTTCTATGTAGTCTAAACAGAATTATATTTACGCACTTGAGGTGTTGCAAAACTAGAGTTTTAATTTTCTGGATCTGATAATAATTCTTATTTTCTTATATTCTTGTTCGAAACGATTTTTTCTATTCCAATCACTATTTGGATTCTTTGGTAGCAGAAAAAATATTGCAAATAAATCTTGTTGAATAATTTTGGTATTTTCACCGTATATATGAAATTATTTTGATGCTAGTCATTCGACACATTAAACTCATTTAATGAGGATAAATAAATCATTGTCCGTATGTTAGCCAACATCGAAATTACATATAACAGATATACAATCAGGTATGTCTTGAAGTCGTCAGAATTGGGAAAAAAATAAAAATTTCTCAAGATTTGGTTGTGATTCCCTGCTCGGAATACCTGTATCGATTATTTTACTCCTTATGGTACTTATCGAGAAAAATTATTTTCCTTTATATATTTATTACAGTCTTTTCTGTAATTACAAAACAGTTATGAAAGTACGTACTATCTGAAGACATATATATATATATGTGTGTGTGTAAGGATGTCATTATTTGAAAAAAATTTCTGTTTATAAAAACGTGAATTTGCGACACCTGGTGGATTTGACAAGTAAAGAATAGTAATGTTAACCAATATAATTTTTTTGTTAAGAAACAATGGATAATAATAGAATTCTTTTATATTAAATGTCTCATCTTCGTCTTTTAAATTATGATAAACAAATAGATATTAACATCGATGAAAATATCGATTTTAATCATCTATTTTTGACAGCTACATATCGTCAATTAGTATTAGCATCACAATGTATATTAACTATCTATGATCTTTCTTCGATTCTTCTTGGTGAAAAATTTAATAATTTATATGAAAAAATCATTATACCAAATTCAATTCTTGCTTTAACATCAACAACTGATCGAATTATTTATGTTTATCGTTCATTAGATAATTTAATAGAATTAAAAATATGTATTTTACATACAAAACATGAAGAACAAAGTTTAATAATTGAATCATTAAATATAGATGAAAAAATTCATTTATGTTCACTTGATGATGGAACTATTTTTATTGGATATGATTGTAAAATATTTTCATTAACAAATAATCAATGGTCATTTGATTCGAAAATTAAAAAAATATGTAGTGGAAAAGAACATATTTTAGTTTTACTTACTGATGGTCGAATATTTACTTGGGGTAATGGTCTTCATGGAGTACTTGGTCTTGGTGATCTTGAACCTTGTTCACAACCTACACATATTGAATCATTATCAAATGATGTTATTGATATTGCTGCTGGTGGATGGCATTCATTAGGTAGAAGATAAGTTAAAAGAAAGGATCCTGTTGGATAAAATAACTACCATTCATTTGAAGAGCCATGTATATCATTTTGTAGAACGACTTGTAGTACATCGAATGTTATTAACATTTCTACTAGCTTCTGTAACTTTTGACTTTTATGATATTTTAAATTCTTCGATACTGTTCCTGGAAGCAAAGTCGACACTTTTTCAAAAAAATGATATACTAGCTGACTCAATAAGTATAACTATTGATTGTCTTCTGAAATGTTGTGCATCATTGTCAAATCGATCACTCAATGCCCAAAAAAATGCTGTTTTTCTTCAATTCCTAACGGTAGAAAAGTAAATGAGTTTTGTGATAAATACTATTTGACTATAAAAGTTTCTATTTATTAATAATAAGTTTATTATATCCTATCATTTACCATATATGGATCTTTCGAAAATGGCAACAAAATTTTTCATTTTCGGACTTGTGAATGAGAATATGTAAAATATCTAAATTCGTAAGAAAAAAAAAAAAAAGACAAACTAATCTTTGTAATAGTTCATTTTCGAAAGATCCATATATGTTACAGGCTTGGTCGCCTTTGCTCTCAGGATAGAGAACTGCAAAGTGATCGCGGTCCCATCGGGACTAAATTTTAATTTTAATGGGATCGAAACTGAGACTTAAAATTGGTTCCGTTATATTTTCTATTTAAGAACTAGACTACATATTTTTATACTTATTATTTTGTTCTGACTAATGATCTACAAATTGACCCTTTTTATTTATAATTTAGATAAAATTATGGCTCTGCAAAATTACTTTTGTCGATCCTCAATGGGAACCACTTTAGAATCCCTACGAAAAATAATATTCATAGTTCTACAGATCCTAAATTTTGATATTATCAAAGAGACTCTTGGGTGAACATTGATTGAAGTTCACTCATGTAGATTTTATATCTATGTAAGAACTGTGAGCTCTGACAGAATTTTCTAAGTCATACGACCGAAATCAAGAAAAATTTTTGTATGAAGACAAAATAGTGGTTTTGTATTTCTTTCATTTTGATGCATGTAGATAAAAAAGAGTCATACAGATTATTAGAAAAATCGTTTTTTTTCTAGAAATGAAATCAGAACTAGAAGGAACAAAAAATTTTAACTGAGATCGAGCCTACAAAAATATTTTAACCGAGATCGGAACCAAAAAAGAGTTAGTCCCGCCGATTTCTATCTCAGGAGCAATATCGAAGAATTTAAAATATCATAAAAGACAAAAATTACAGAAGCTAATAAAAATGCTAAGATTTTGGGTATGAAATCAGCTACATATACACGATTAAAGACGAGATAAAACTCTATGATAATAACTTTAAACAAAATTTGATAGAGATTGTTTTAGAGACAAACTGATACATAGCTTCTCAGAATATTAAAACTTAATAAAAAAGCAATTTCTTATGTACTACTCATTGTGGTTTGAGTTGTTCTACAAAATGGTATACGTGGCTTTTCATTTGAAGAGTGATCATCTTATCTGATAGGGTTCTTTATTCAAAACACAAAAAAAAAAAATTTTTTTTTTTTCCATTTAGTACTTCTTTCGGATGGATCAGCTATGTCATGGGGTTGGAATAATGATGGTGCTCTCGGTCTTAATTCTTCTGATAAAGATGATGTATCAGGTGTATTTTGTGATCCAACACTTGTTACTTGTTTACCATTGGATGTAGATTGTATACATATATCTGCTGGTGCAAGACATAGTGTATTTATTGGATCAAATGATCATGTATGGTTATGTGGTTCGAATAAACATGGTCAATTAGGCAATTTATCTTTATTTTCTATTGAAAAAGGAACTACTATTTATTGTTCATCTTGGTTTACTTTTTTAATTTCTCGTAGAATTTAAAATAATAATAAAAAAAAAAATCTTTCTTTCAGATGATTGATGATAATGATGATGATCTTCGACCAGCACAAATTCGTTCATTAGCTGGAACTACACGTCTTCGTTTATGTGCTGGTCAAGTTTGTGTTAGTGTTGCATCATGTGTTAAAGAATTAATTGAAAATAGTCTTGATGCACATAGTACACGTTTACAATTGACATTTATTGCACATGGTGCCGATCTTATTGAACTTGTTGATAATGGTGATGGAATTGCTGAACATGATTTTGAAAAAATTGGTTTTTATTAAAATGAAAATATTTCATTTTTTATTTTTTTGAATTTAAAATAAATACTTTGTTTTAGGACTTCGATATCATACATCAAAAATAAGTCAATATGAAGATCTTGAAAATGTAAATACATATGGTTTTCGTGGTGAAGCTTTGTCATCAATTTGTATTTATGCGTAAAGATTAATTATTTTGTTATTTTTTTCTTTAAATAAAAATATTTATTTAGTGATGTAACAATTATTACACGTCATGCATCAGCATCAATAGGAACAAAATTAGTATTTGATGGTGAAGGTCAAGCTATTTCACGTACTCCTTGTCCTCGAGAAGTAGAGAAAAAAAAAATATATATCGTTCAATTTTTTAATTGAATTTGAATTTTTCCAATTTAAGACTGGTACAACAGTATCAATTCGTTCATTATTTAATCGTTTTCCTGTTCGTCGTACTGAATTACGTGCACATTCAAAACGTGAATTTTCTCAAGCATTAAATATTATACAATCATTTGCAATTATATCACGACAACTTCAATTTTTTCAAATATTATCATCATCAGATAATCATCCACCAACACATCCATTATTAACATTAACTCCATCAACTTCATTAAAAGATATATTAGCACAAATATTTGGACAAAAAATACTTGAAAGTATTATACATATTGATGATAATAATAATAATGATGATGATCAAAATAGAGAATTTAAAGTAAATGAAAAATTCTTTTTTTTTTTAAACATTAATCTAAAGATAATTCAAAACCTAGGAAGACATTTTAGATTGTTTAGTTGATGAGAGCTCATAATTGAGACTATCGTGTCTGCCAGTCATGTTTAATGTTATTATGCAAACTGAAAGTATAACAAAGATTAAGATGAAAACATAACTTCTCTTCAATCATGATCTCATTTAACGTGATTGAAATAATTTAGGAAATCGATAGTTATTTATGTCGATCTATAACGTTCTCTATTTCATAAACTTTTCATTTAGAACAAATTACATTTAATATCCTATCTAGGAATGCAACGATGATGATAACCGTACCTACGGTCATCGGTTTTTCCCGAAGGAAAGGATTTCTTAAGAAAACAACGATATTTTATAAAGGTTGACGAATGTAAATCAGAATTGGGAGATCTGAATCTGTAATTGGTTCGTCAAAACCATATACTTGCTTTCATGATTTACTCTCCTACAACAGCTTTTTCCGCCGCGAAAAAGTTTAGAGAAACTGATTGCAGATTCGGATTCTCCGACTTCGATTTACTTTTGTCGAACATCGTTATTTTCTCAAAATACTCTTTCCCTAGTGAAAAATCGGTGAATGATCGTCACCATTACATTCCTAATCCTATCTGACATAAACATTTTGTGATTCGAAGTCTGATAGATAGTTCTAATATGATTCTAAAGTTTAACAAACTTTTCATCACTATATTCTATGCATTCTCTATTTGAAAAAGTTTCTAGAATAAATAGTGTTGAAGTATATAGGAATAAAAATTTGAACCTCTCCCTATGTCAGGCCGTAAAACAGAGTTGTAGCCGTTTGAGAATTTTTTAAACTGATTCAGTTTGTTGAGTTAATATTAATTGGTTAATGGGAATGACTTGAAAAAAATATTTATTTTCCTTTTTACACTAAGATTTTTTACATATCTCCAGAAAGAAAATAATCATTTACTCATCAACTGATTGCTTAACTACAAATCTTGAATTTTCTTACTTAGCCTTTTCCGACAAACCTAACATTTCTTCTCAAACAACGATCCAAACCTAAATTTGATTTTTAAATCAAAAAAGTTTAGTTCAAGTAACACAATTATGATTATGTTTTTTTTTCTAAGAAATGAAATATACTTCAATGAAGAAAATAAAAACGACAGTTCTTGAAACAATACCGTTTGATAAGGGCAAGGAAACTTACTCTCTTCAAGTTTGATCAGAGAAAAATAGCATATCTAGAAAATCTTTTCCAATTAATGAAGACCGTCCGATTCTGTTACAACTCTGCTGTAAACTAATAACATATTATAAATGCAAAATAATCTCCTTGTGATTAATTACATTTTGTTTCACATTTTAATCTCGCAGAGATTATACTAACAATCTTTTGTTAAAAAAGAACTGATTACGTAATTTTCTATTAGTCCAATTTGAAAAGTTTTTTTTTTTTTATTTAAACGACATATTTCAATTTAGTTCGATGGTTATATTTCTCGACCTCAACATGGTTCTGGTCGTTCATCAACTGATCGACAATATCTTTATGTAAATAATCGACCTATTGATTGTGCACCTTTATTACGAACAATAAATGATATATATCGACAGTTTAATCCAAATCAATATCCACTTATTGTATTAAGTATTGAAGTAGTCGATCGAAGTACAGTTGATATTAATTGTACACCAGATAAACGAACGATTTTTATTGAACATTTATCAAATATGTGCGATCAAATTCGAAATATACTTAATAAATTATTTGAAACAAGTAGTAATGTTTATGTTGTATCACATAAAAGACAACAAGAATCAACAGAAAATAATGATATTCCAACACCACCAATAAAACAAATAAAAATTGAACGTTTTGTTAAAAAATCTGTAAAAACAACAAACCTATTGAACTGAAAAATTAATTTTTTGTTTTTCAAATATTTTTAGTCACAATCTTCTGATATTCCAATTTTGACTACTAGTAATCCTTTATCGAAATTTTCTGGTCCATTCAATGTGGTATTATATTCGAAATAATAAATTGATTTTCTTTTTTTTTTTGATGGACTTTTTTTTTTAATTTTAGATTCGTAGTGAAAAATCGAGTTCGTCATCATCAAATTTATCAACACAAGATCGAACATTATTTACATTTGAATCACATTCTATTGCAAAAACTAGTCCATCAAACATTCCAAATAATGATGAAGATGAAGATGAAGATGATCCACGTGTTACTACTTTAGTACATGGTACTCCATCAAAAAAAGATTTTCTAGATAAAATTAAACAACTTAAACAAAATGATAAAACAGAAGAAGACGGAGAAGAAGACGAAATTGAAATACCAATTTCTACTGATCATGATTTACAAATGTATACATCAACACCATTTATTAAAGAAAAACCTGAACCAATCGAACAATCCGAAAGTATTGTAAGTATTCATTGTATATTTTTTCTTTTCAATTAATTTCTGATAAATATATAGTAGTGAAAATATTTGACTTGTTGAGCTTTAAAGATTTTCTCATCAATTAAATGGAAGTCATCTACTGATCTTCTTATAGTGTTATAGATTACTATTATATTTATACTTATTTGCATTGAATAAAATATTAACTTCATAAAAATCTAATTTTTATTAAATTCTGTTGAAAAAAATCATTTCATATTCAAGTGAATTCTTTACAAAGAGGAATAGCTCACAGAATGACATCTGTTTTAGTTTTAGTCAATAATTTTGATTATCAACGTTTGTATATATTATAAAAAACAATGATAGTTCAATCAATCAATTTTCTTATACGTTTACCTATATTCACTTTCGAAAATTAGTTCGAATTTGATTCATTCTCAATCTTTGATACGAGAAAAAGACAATTGATAGGAAACAAAGATTGTACTAAATTATTTCCCGTTAATTCATTTGGCAGCTCTTCAATTTAATGTTTGAAATTAAAGTGATAGAATTTTTTTTTTGAATATGTATATTGACAATTAGTAAGATTAACTAGCGAGAGCCCGTGCATACTGCACGGATGCTTTTTTCCTGTAAAGTTTCACATCTGTCATTTAGCCTTGATTCGATAATAAAGAATCAAACAGTTCGTATTACATATATCGAGAGACCTTATATCCTTGTAGCCTTATACTCTTTTAGTTTTATCCCTTATGGCCCTGTAGTCTTAGCCTCTTATCCCTTTACCCTTATATCCTTATCCCCTACCCCTTATAGCCCTTGAAGACCTATGGGTACAATCATATAACAGCTCTTGAGGGCCTATGGGTACCTCCATATAACAGGACTTGAGGACACAAGTGGTACCTTCATATAATAGTTGAGGACCTTTGGGTAGCCCAATATAACAAGACTTATAGCCTTCTCCGTATAGCCTTATTTGATCTTTGACCCGGGCACAGAGATGTCGGACAGACACTGAACATTATATATATATATATAGATTATTTTATTTATAGAAAGTAACATCATACAAATCATGTGAAATCAAAGTTAAATTCAGTATGAATAAACTCAAAGAAAAATATCGATTAATGACTGAAAAAGAAGATATATCATCAGCAATATCAGATCATCGTTTTAATATACACATTGAAGAAGATCAAAATGAAGAAGCTGAAGATGAATTAAGACGACAAATTGATAAAACTGATTTTGAAAGGTTTTCTATGATTCCTTTTTTTTCTCTCTATCAAATTAAATAAATTAATTTATAATTTATAATAGAATGCATATTATTGGACAATTTAATCGTGGTTTTATACTCGTTACACTTGTTGATCATTCATCACAATTATTTATTGTTGATCAACATGCAGCTGATGAAATATATAATTTTCATCGTCTTTATGAACAAACAATTGTTAGTCGACAACCACTTCTTCATCCAAAATTAATACCACTTGATCCATCTCGACAAGTTCTTCTTCAACAACATTTAGATTTATTTAATCGACTTGGGTAATTTTTT